TTGTCTTTGTGAAATTATATTTCTTGGCTAATCAGAGTTCTTGGGAAGGGGGAAATACTTTACATCTCTGAAATCAGCACGCAGAGGCAGATGTTGCTTTTGGATATTTGAAAAACAGCCTTCTCCAACCTAGTGTCCGCTAGATGTTTTTGGACTGCACCTCCCAGCATCCCTCAGCATTGCCCATGGTAGCAGGGGCTGATGGGAAATGTAGTCCATCTTTGAGAGTGCTGGGTTAAAGATGGCTTATACAGAGCTTCTGATGCACAAGCTGCTTTGTTAATCCCAGTGGGGGTAAAAGTTCTATGGATGTCTTCCATCGCATGTGCTGATGTGCTTGCCATGGAATTATACTGAATATTGATCCAGAGTAGATTCCACATTGCAGGATTCCCAAGAAAACAGACCAGAGTCAATTATATTTCATCCAGCAGAGCTTTACTGTTGTTGTGCTCATGTTCTTCTTGTGAGGTTGAGACATCTGGCTGGCCACTGTGAGAACATGATGTTGGACTAGGGACACAGCTACATTAGTAAAAAAAAAAAACCACCAGCGTTTTGAATGCATTATAAACATGCAACACCAGATGGCGCTGGAGAGCAAAAAAAAATTGTTATCGATTTTACATAGTTTTTTTCTTTTGTTATAAGGGGTTAATTTCTGGGTTGTTTATAGTAGTTTTTCCCCTGTGTGTAGATCCACCCTAGTTGTACCTTTGGCCAGAAACATCATGGTCCTTCTACTGTTCGTATGCTTGATGTATTGTAAATAATGATCTCTGTCCTCAGTGGGGATCACTTCCTAGAAAGTGTTTTTCGGATTGCAGCTTTAGTCCCTGGGAGTTGATCTTTTGTGCTTTCCGAAGGGTTTCCAGTTGCTTCTGTTTAACTTGATTCTCTGACAGTGACATAATTGCAGACACTTTTGACTGCTTGTTTTGCATCTGCTCTTGCTAACATTCACTGGCTGGCCAAGATCTTTCCCTTAGATTACAGACAGAGAATTTTTTTTCCTTCCAGGATTGCAGGTAGTATGATAGAAATGTATTGTTCCCTGTGGTGCATATACTCATTTGTTCTGTCCCACTGTCATCTCGGATCAAACTGGTCCGACAGTCTTTTGAAGCACTACACATAAACCTATGAATAAAGATAAAAATCTGGGTACACCACAGAGAACGAGAGCTCTTTTGCAAGACTCGCAATTGTCTTTTGATGGTCTATTTTCATCGTAGGGGGGCTTTTGTGCCCCTCTGGCAGTGATCCACTGGGTTGGAGCAATATCTCTGATACGAAGAGCCTGTTTGATCAAGCCAATGACATATCTAGTCCAGCATCCTGTTCTCACAGTCGCCAATCAGATGCCTGGGGAAATCCTGCAAACTACAGATGCCTGCAGCAGCATCCTACCCACCTGTGATTCCCAAAAACAGGTATTTAGAGGCATGCCGCCTCTGACAGTGGAGGTGGAACATAGCCATTGTGCCTAGCAACCACTGATAGCTTTCTTTTGTTTCTCAATTTGACAGTTTTACATATATATTTTTTTTAATGTAATGTGGTATTTTATGCATTGTGACTCGCAGTTATTTTCATTGATCATAGTTCAGTAATTATTTGTTGTCATTGTTAAGCGTGAATTTCTGCTTAATTATTATTTGCTGGTATTTTGATGCCCATGCCCATGGATGTCCATGGGCTCTGTTGTTACAGCAGAGGGAGAAAAGCTTCTCTAGTCACTTCCTCCGTGCCATGCCATGCCACTTGTCTTTTCTCTAAAGTCTGAAGTGGTGTGGCCCTTCCTCAAAGGGGAGCAGACCTCCAAGTGTCCTTATTTTCCAGGAACAATCCCGGATGTACAGAATCTGCCCCAGTTTCTGATTTGATCCAGGAAAGTCCCACGTTTCCTTAGGATGTCCCTATTTTGATTTGAGAAATGGTGGAAGGTATGGAGTTATCCAACCCCCGGCCGACTGAAGTCAGCCCTGTATAGGGAAGGTTTTTAAAAAATGTTTAATGTTTTTATTATGTTTTTTTTTATAAATGTTGGAATGTGTCCAGAGTGGCTGGGGCAACCCAGTCAGATGGGCAGGGTATAAATACAGTGGTACCTCTGGTTGCGAATGGGATCTGTTCCAGAGCCCCGGCCCCGTTCGCAACCTGAGCAGAATGCAACCCATGTCTGCGCATGCGCGGGTCGCGATTCACCGTTTCTGCACATGCGTGTGACGGCATTTTGAGCATCTGCACATGCGCGAGCGGCGAAACCTGGAAGTAACCCTTTCCGGTACTTCCGGGTCGCCGCGGGACACAACCTGAAAACGCTCAACTTGAAGCAAACGCAACACGAGGGATGACTGTAATAAAATTCATTTCTCCCCATTTTCATCGGAGAAATGTTGGAGGGTATGGGGGAGTTCAGTGCCCTCCCCCTGGTTCACTGAATCACATGTTTTTCTCCATGCAGACATGGAGAAGAGGAAGAACTTATCGATACGACCACAATGGCACAGTGTATAGGGTTGCAATGACACATATGAGAGTAAGTCGACACAATAAAAAATCTATGAAGTCTACTCTTTTAAAGGGAGGCTTTCTCTGAGATACAGGCAGCTGTGCTGCCAAGAGGAATTAAATGCTTAGGATGCGCACTGTTCAGGATTATCAGGCCTTTTCACACTGCTGCGCTTAATGGGGGGAAAGCTACACATCGCAACACTCTGCTGAGCAACACAGTTACTAGACACAGTATTTTAAGGAGCAAAGTGAGAGCACAGCCTCCCACAGCTCTAGCTCTGAAGAATAGAAACATACTTATCCAGACAGAGCAGTAAACTAACGTTCTCCACTTTATTTACCTCTGTTGATCTCAGAACGGTGCCTGGTTAGATCAAACATAGCTTAATCAAGGAAATGTGCCATAGAATCATCCAGTTAAAAGCCATGCGAGGGCTTTCTTTCTTCCACCTGTTTATGTCTCAAGTACAGCATCTCTGATAAATGTATGTTTAATCTTCTGGTTCTACTAAACCAGGGATGAGCAACTTCTCTCTCTCCCCCTCCCCACCCCAGCCTTTGAGATGCAGTTGGACTCCACTGGGTTGCCCACTGGACCTGGTAAGATGGAAGGTACGGAGGCCAACAGCAGGGGGAGCCAGAGCCCCATGCAGGCAGAGACAACTACTTCTAGGTTCCCCCTCTTGGCTCTCCCTATTGAGTTCCACAAGGATTGAGAAACTGACAACCAATACCACCTCCAGGCTGGTTGTAAATAAGAAGGCAGGCAGGTGAAGACTGTCTGAAGGCAGGCTGAGGTTCATGGGGTAGTGTGCCATTCCCTCTAATGAACCAGCCCCCACTTGCTGTGTTGCTATATAGAGCCTGGTTCTCAAGGTAACTCTTTTACCTTTGGTGGAGAATGACAGGTTAGCAAGGGGTGCAGGGAAGTGTTTTTGAGCATTCAACTGCAATGCTCAAAGAGCTTCCTGCACATTGTGGAGACAGTGGATAGACAAAAGTTTTTCTTCCTCTCTCTCACTAGAGCTCATGGACATTGTATGAAGGAAAGAGGATGAAAACAGATACCCCATTCCAGAAGTGCCACCCCACACTTTGTCTGATACAATGGCTTAAATCAGCTTGGCTCTCTAAAGTAGGCCAAGCTGTAACGTCTTAAGTTCCTGCAACCAGGAATGGCCATAGAAGGATGAAGACATTTTTCAGGGCAGACATACATTTTTCTCCTCTGTATCACTTAGGAAAATGAGACCCAGAGATCCTTGGGAAAAGACCAGAGGACTGTTTTTAGCAGCAGGCTACAGAGTCGAAGGGGTCAGGCTTTATGAATTAAAGCAATGACACCTGAGCTTGAATGCTATCATTTCGTGGTCTGCACTGAGATGAAAATGGCCTCGCCTATGGTGAGTTTCAGCTGCACTTCCTCCAGATAAATCCTAGTGGCATTCAGTACAGATTCCAGTTGACACTTCAGCTCCTTTTGGAAGCTGCTCTAAAAACTCAGCTAAGAAAAGGAAGGGCAGCATTGCAAGAAGCTGGGGCTGTGGTTCTAAATGTATCACTATTCTTTTTATCTAGCTCACCACTGGCTTCCTTTATCTTTCTGTATTAAGTTTAAGCTCCTTTATCAATACAAGACTCTCTCTGTGGTCTTGCTTCACCTCTTCTCATTGCTTTCTCTATATTCTCCCCCTCTTAATCTTCATTCCACTAATACTACTAACCTGTCTAGGGAAAACTCCTTAGGGAGCAATCCTGTACACAGAAGAAGCTGGCACAAAGCAGGCAGGCGTAATTTAAGCTGGTGTAGAGTTAACGCCAGAGCCAAACTCCATTCAGCAGCACAGCTACTGCAGACTGAGCTGATCTAAGCCTGAAAGAGGGGAAGCGGGCCTTTACAATTGTGTTTGAGACACACCATCCTTTTCATTGGGTTGACCTAATGTCAATAGGCAAGGAGTACCAGAGGAGGGACGCAGGTGGCGCTGTGGGTTAAACCACAGAGCCTAGGACTTGCTGATCAGAAGGTCGGCGGTTTGAATCCCCGCAACGGGGTGAGCTCCCGTTGCTCAGTCCCTGCTCCTGCCAACCCAGCAGTTCAAAGCACATCAAAGTGCAAGTAGATAAATAGGCACCGCTCTGGCGGGAAGGTAAACGACGTTTCCGTGCGCTGCTCTGGTTTGCCAGAAGCAGCTTAGTCATGCTGGCCACATGACCCAGAAGCTGTACGCCAGCTCTCTCGGCCAATAAAGCGAGATGAGGCACCGCAACCCCAGAGTTGGTCCCTTTAGGTCGGTTACCTTTACCTTTTACCAGAGGGTAGGTTCTGCCACGCTGAAAGATTGACTCTTTTGGTACAATGCCCCCAATATATTTAGGAGAAAATGGCCCTTCCTTTGTCATCACTGAGATCTTGGAGCAGTCACAGATCGGCATAGCCATCCAAGGGTTTGCCAAAACATTGAACACTTTTTAAAGCACACGCCTGGATAGTTCAGTTGGCTAGCACGTGGTGCTGATGACGCCAAGGTTGCAGGTTCGATCCCTGTATGGGACAACGGCGTATTCCTGCATTGCAGGGGGCTGAATGAGATGATCTTCTATGATTCTGTGATGGCTTGAGGGAGCTTTCCTATCAAGCCTACCTACCCAATGACAGGTGGCCTCATTTCATGAGTGCATTACCCACTGGCCTGGGCAGTGTGTGTGTGTAGAAATTTACATAAACTGCATATGCTGGACACAAGAAAAGTGGACAGAAGGAGCAGCAAAAGGCAAAGAAACTGACTCTTGCCTGTTGTGGGAGGCATGCATATTGGATGGGGTTTGGTTAATGACTTTTTGATCCTTTAGGCAACAAATTTCTGCGCTGGCAGGGAACTGCTAAGGATCTGAATACTGCATGTTGGGCAGGTTTTGGGAGGCAATCAGAGGTTCTCCTGTCAGTTGCGCTCCAAGCCTCCAACTTGCCAGATGGAGGGGAAGGGATTTAATAAGAGAGACGGAAATTCTTTTTCCCATCAGCAGCTGTAGGTCAGAATAGCAGGCAGGGTGCTGAAACTTGTGTTAGTTCTACACGTGTTCATCTCTTAAGGGCAATTTTTGTACTGCTGTATAAGTGGCTTGACCGGCTGTTCAGAGGCGGCCTGCTGTTTCCGATTTACAGCATCCAACTCGGGGGGCCCAGAGCAGATGTCTGTACATGAGGATCCTTGGTCTGAAGAAACTGCTGTGTTTATTTAAAAGCCAGAAGTGGAATATAGGGCCAAGAGTAGTAAAGTACATTAATTTTTTTTTTTTTTAAAGACAATTTTATAAGCTTTCTGTCTTTGTTTCTCAATATGATCCTTTTGCATGGTTTTGTATGTACTGTGGTATTTTATGCACTTTGATTTGCTGTCATTTTTATTGATCATAGTTTAGTAAATAATAATAATAAAATAATAATAATAATAAATTTATTTGCTGTCCATCTGACCGGGTTGCTCCAGCCACTCTGGGTGGCTTCCACCAAATTAAACACATTAAGCACTGTAAAACATCAAAGATTAAAAACTTCCTTATACAGGACTGCCTTCATGTTTTCTAAAAGTCAGATACTTGTTTATTTCTTTGACATCTGATGGGAGGGTGTTTTACAAGGGGAGCCCGACTACTGAAAAGGCCCATTTTTTTTAACTGTTATTGTTAAGAGTGAGTTTCTATTTAATTGTGAGTTGCTCATACTTTGAGAGTCAATTTTATTGTGTGCTGTTATATTCTAACGGACTATAGAATATTACTTTATTTGGTATAATTTGTTTATTTTAAAGTTATGTTTTTACCATGACTTTTTGCATTGGATCAGATTGTTATAAGGTGTGTGATCTTTGTTGTATATTTTGCTGTTTCTTCGGCTTTCAAACCACCTTGGGGATAGTTAAATAGAAAAAGCAGTATACAAATTGAAAGTGAAAATGAAATGAAATGAAATTTTCTCTTGTGAGCATTTCTAAATCTCCATCCTATATCTGACTCCTGGCTTTTAACTAAAACACAAGATCTGAAACCTTTAAAACTTATGGATTTTGCTGATGCTCTGGTAGTTTGGCTTTGTGGGTTATAGAATCATTTGTAGGAATATTGGGAGCAGCCTTATTCCGAGTCAGACTACCAGCCCATCTTGTTTAGTTTAGTCTACACTGACTAACAGCATCTCCCTGGGAATTTAGACAGGAACCTCTCCTAGTCCTACCTGAGATGTTGCAGACCTTCCAAGTGCCCCTATTTTCCAGGGACAGTCCAGGATTTACAGACGCCATCCCAGTTTCTGATTTGATCCCAGAATGTCCTGCTTTTCCTTAGGATGTCCCTATTTTCATTGGAGAAATGTTGGAGGGTATGGAGTTCTGCGACCCTGAGCCAAGGAGCTAAGTAACTAGACAACCTTTGGCATCTGAAGGCAGCCCTATATAGGGATGTTTTTTAACGTTTAATGTTTTATTATGTTTTTATATATGCTCAAAGCTGCCTAGAGTGCCTGGGCCAACCCAGTCAGAAGGGCGGAGTATAAATAGTAAAAAAATGTGTTGTTGTTGTTGTTAAATAGGGTGTCGCTATCTTCATCAGAGGGACAAGGGTGGCGCTGTGGGTTAAACCACAGAGCCTAGGGCTTGCCAATCAGAAGGTCGGCGGTTCAAATCCCCGCGACAGGGTGAGCTCCCGTTGCTTGGTCCCTGCTCCTGCCAACCTAGCAGTTCGAAAGCACGTCAAAGTACAAGTAAATAAATAGATACCACTCTGGCGGGAAGGTAAACGGCGTTTCTGTGCGCTGCTCTGGTTCGCCAGAAGCGGCTTAGTCATGCTGGCCACATGACCCGGAAGCTCCCGGCTCCCTCAGCCAATAAAGCGAGATGAGTGCCGCAACCCCAGAATCGGCCGCGACTGGACCAAACGGTCAGGGGTCCCTTTACCTATCTTCATCAGAGAAATGTTGGAGAGTATGATGTTGGGAATTGAACCAGATGTAAGGCAGATGTTCTACCACTGAGCCAAGGCCCTTCTCTCCCTATCAAAAAAGGTCATTTATTATTATTTTAAACATTTTAATCCTGCTACAATGTACAGCAAGATCCAATTGGATTAAGATGCATGAAAGGTGTTTTAAAGCATCACACAACATTTAGAAAAATTAAGGACATATAAAAACTCAGAAACAATGCTTTAAAAAGGAGAAGAAGAGAAAAAATAGTATTAGAAATGCTACTGCTGCCTCTCCCCATATGATCCAACTTGGACCATGTGATCATCATCTGAGGCCCTTCTTCATGTGCCTCCCCTGCAAGAGGTCTGGAGGGCAGCAACACGCAAACGGGCCTTTTCTGCACCACGCAAAAACATTCCTCTTCTCCCAGGCCTTTGGCTAATTAAACAATCTATGGCATATGGGGAGGGGTATTCTCGTTTGTTAATACATTATGCATTTTTGAGTTTTTATATTGTAAACAGCAATGTGATCTTTGGATGAAGGACAGTGTGAAATAGAGAAACATGGCCTGCCCGTGTACAGGGGTACCTCGGGTTACATACGCTTCAGGTTACAGACTCCGCTAATCCAGAAATAGGTCTTCAGGTTAAGAACTTTGCTTCAGGATGAGAACAGAAATTGTGTTCTGGCAGCGCGGCAGCAGCGGGAGGCCCCATTAGCTAAAGTGGTGCTTCAGGTTAAGAACAGTTTCAGGTTAAGTACGGATCTCCGGAACGAATTAAGTACTTAACCCGAGGTACCACTGTATTAAGATTCCTGAAAGGATATAATGCAATCAGAAAAAGTTACACAAGGGCCACCTACTTCCTGTTCTGATGTCATGAGGGACAGGAAGTTCTAGGGACTCAAAATGTTATTCAGCCTAGGGTCTCCTAACCTTTTGTTCCTATGCGCAATAGAAGAATTTCCCTCCCTTCCCACAAACGTCTCATGACCTCAACATTGAAATTCTGCCTCCAAACATGGCCAGCGATTAGTGTCCACGTCCATCGCACAACAATCCAGAATAGTGCAGTCAAGAATACTGAAAGCTAAAATGCTAAAGCGTCTGGCTTAGTGGACCATGTGGAACGCAAATCGATAGGAGAAAGCATTTTCAGGCAGGCAAGCGTGGTTCAGTGACTGCGGTAACACAACAACATGTGTGTAATTGTAGAGTAATGTGATCAAATGTCAAAAGGGACAAAGCCAAAAGTACATTGTTAGAATTACCTTGACAACCAGCCTGATCCCATCAGCTTTGAATTCAATTACGTTTCAGTCAGGAAAAATATATTCCGTCCCACAAAGCCAACATTTTGGCACATTCTAGCATGACCAATAAGAGAGAAGGAGCCGGTGCTATGCAGAAACAGTATAATTTAAGTTTGATTCCTAATGGCAGGGCTTAGTGGGGAATGTTTAATCCACATCCCCCAATAAACCATGCTTACTGCACAAGGCAACAACATTCCTCTTCTCCCAGGTCTTTGGCTACTTAAACTCTGGCCTTAAAACTGTATAGGTGTGTGGGGGTGTGTATTGTTTTGTTTGCTACTGTGTTATGTATTTTTGTGTTTTTATATTGTAAACTGCCTTGTGATTCTTGCATGAAGTAGAGAAATAGTAATAATAATAATAATAATAATAATAATAATAATATCCCTTTAAATTTCCAGATTATCAGCAAATGCTGCCATTCCCTACTATGGGACATAGTAAAAACATTACAGCAAAAGCAAAGTCTGTCCTCCATTCTCCTTGACACAGTTCTCCGAAGGCGTTTCTAACCCCTTCAGGGATCTATGAACTATATAAACCTACCCACTGAAAGTTCTCTGCCTGTCATCATGATGGGCATTGCGTGTCTGTAAATATATGCACACACATGCATTTACACACAATATCTTCATATTTAAAAAATGATGTATAATAAGCATATTGCTATTCTCAAAGCAGGAAGATATAACAAAATATACATAGACATAGCTATATAAACACTTATGTATCAGGTATCGCTTTTGAATTTATTTTCCAGTAGCTGGATATTTTTCTTGAGTCTTCGTATATTAGTACATCACAAAAGGGTTGTATCCTTCTCCTCCCTTTTCTCCCCTGTGCCCTCTGTGTGCTCTGACTGGTCCCCTACCCTTCACAACCAGACAACCATTTTGAGGGTTTGCAAGGCATAGCTGTCAACATTTCCCTTTTTTTAAGGGAAATTCCCTTATTCCAAATAGGATTCCTCGCAAGAAAAGGGAAAAGTTTGCAAGGGCTTGGAGGGGACAGGAGCAGGAGAGGAAGCTCTGTTGTATGAGAGGATCTACAGCAGTTCCCCAACAGCTGATAAGACCAAGACTTTTGCCATTTTTTATTATAAGTCAACTGTCAGTTTGCATTTCTTAGTGCAGAAAGAATTGATCTGATGTGTAGAGATCTTTCCTATTCTACTTAATTCAAGAGGGTTCTGGAAGCTTCTCTGTGTGAAAGAAACAAGCAGAAGGTTCATGATGTTTGGGTTATACTTTCAGAGAAGCTGAGTACAGCTGGCT